GATAAAATTTCTAGCATAAGTGTTTAATTCGGCTAGTAGATTGTTGGAAGAAGTGTCGTAGATAGAAGAAAAGAAACATGTCTTTACTTCGTGAAGACAAAATGCGGCGGGGGGAAAAAAAAATAGAGGGTTGCTGTAGGAGAGTTGGTTGCCAAATTTTCACCAAAAAATCGCCAAGTTACCGTAATGTAAAGATCAACCCTTTTCTTTAACTCAACATTTTTTTTCCAACTATCTGCTAACCGAATTACGCTTATGCTAGAACTTTTATGGAACAAAAATGCTTAATCATGACGAAGATTAGGTGTGAAATTGGGAGAAAGTGCAGAATTGCCCACAGCTTGCCGTGTTTTTAAGAATTGCACATACACAGTATCATCCATGTACACGTCGACCTATTTTCACTTTAAAAAAATCCCAGAATTTCACAGAAATGGCATTGCACACACTCTTGACTTTATTTATGTACACTGCTAAAGTCCTAGGTAGTAACCTTTATCGCCTTACCAAAATGTCGCCAAACTACCTGTTACCATATTCCAAAGATTAGCCGAAATATTGATTATATTATCTCCTAATATCAATTTTAGTAGAAGTATCTAAAAAGAATGAACCCATAGATAGGAAGTTTAATTCCGAAAAAATGTTTTAAAGTAACTTGAATGTAAATTGTTAATAATGTTTTACGGGGACTTGAAGTAAATCATGAATAACAAAATTTCAAACTTTAAATAATAGAAGATTAATAAGAATATACTTTAAGAATAAACTTAAAGCATCTAAATTTATTATTAAATTGGAATAAAAGCATGGCAACTCTTCTATAATATAATAATTGCAACCATGTACAGGAGGTTTAACACAGTATCAAAACAAATCCAATTAAAAAAAGAATTCATAGCAGAACAAACTCGAAAAATAAAAATGTGCAAGGGAAAATATACAAATAAAAATTAATTTCCTTTCAGAAAATGAATTAAAGCTTTATAGAAGTCTATTAATATGTTTCGTTCTCGTGGTCCATTTGAGATCCAAAACCGTAAAGAGATTTGATCAAATTTTTATTACACACTTCATATAAAACCGAAAACTCGAATCTCAAATGTACCAGAATTTTCCCTACACATTTTTGAATCATTTGGAAAAAAGAATAAAGCATAACATTGTACCAAAATGACAATTAAAAAACCATAGAACTTTACATTATGTACATTGAAATTCAAAACAACAAATTGGTCTAAAACCAATGTATGCTAATCCGAAATTCAAAAGCAAGTTTAAATAAAGAGCACAACTAATACTCATTTAAACAAAACTAAAAAATTGGGAGGTCCCTGATTATGCTAAACTTTTAAAACCAAGAAAACAAAAAACTGTATGTAGAGATTTCTATAAATGAAACGTCAAATCCGAGCCTTAAACAGCAAAAAACTGAAAACCTTTTTGAAACAATAATTGAAAAACACACTTGCTGAAATCTTAACACAACTTTCTATGCGTAATCTAACTGAATTCTAAAGATGGCCAAACTGCGTTCTTGGTACAGAAAGTAGAATTCAAACTGCTCTGGAGAAGCCGAAATTTTGTAGTTCTCGGAAAAAGTATGCGATAAGGTTCAAAGTGTTTAATAGCAGAATTAGTATTTTAACCATAAGTTCAAAATGTCCTACTCTGTTATACTTTGTGTGTGGTCTGTAAAAATTATTACCGACAAGGAAAGGGTAATCGTCAACCCAAAATCCCACCGTAAGAAACTGCTCTTTTTAAAATCTTAGAGCGCGAAAACAGAACTGGCTCAAAGTTGCGGAAAAGGAAAAAAAGCATATGTTATAAAAGAAAAGTCTTCACGTAATTGTGGTACAATATTCCTTAGGAACAAAAAACCCCATTTTTTTAGTAACAGCTAGATTTGCCAGTTATTACATTTCCAAAATAGTATATACAGTCAAAAGTCGTTAATTCGGACACCCATAATCTGGAATGATCTATAATCCGGACATCAAAGCTAAAAACTTTCTGCGCGCGCGTAAGACCTTTACGGCTGCGAATACGCGTGTGCGCAAAATACGTTTACGAACGCGCGTTTAATGTATAACAGATGGTATAAGCTAAGCTAAAATTATATAATTCAGTTAATGTTGCAGATTGCATTGTTCCTTAATCTTCGAATTGGATTCAGCTTATTATTTTTTGCAGACTGTTAGAGCAATTTTATAAAAGTAAGCTTGAACTTTCGATTATGTCAAATAGAATTTCTGATATATATTTACTAATATGTAAAGGATCTACAAAGCGAATGTTTCGAAGTCCATTAAACAAAAAGTGGAATTGCTGCACAAAAATGGATAAAGGCATATCCTTTGTTTATCTTTAACGCCGCGGCGCACAATGAATTGGAAGTTGATCTGTCCGCACTATCCTTATCTTCAGGGCAGATGTTTTATTTTATTTGGCTTATAATTCCTTACTAAATGTAGTATTTCATCTCGATGTACTCCTGTCTTTGATATGATTTAAATGAAATTCGTCATTATAATTCACTTCCGATAGCGAAGAAAGTGACAGAGTTTACTGAAAACGAAAAAATTTTGATTGACAAATTAGTCGGTATTTTCAACACAGCAATTATAGGACTTGAACAGCGGAACTTTGTAACTGAACAAGAAATTATGTCTGTTTATAGAATTAAAGAGAATGTATTATCACATAAAAAACGAAGCAACTTAAACAACTTACATTGAAAGAAATGTTTAATAAAGTAAACAAATAAATATTAAGCTTTTTTTTTTGTAAATTTTGATACCCTTTAGATCATAATTGTTCTTTATTTCATAAATTACGGTTTCATATTTTTAATTTTATAATTTCTACATGCCATCTTACCAGATTTAAACTAATGATCTATAATCCAGAAAAATCGATAATCCGGAATCGCTGAAGTCCCAACGAGTCCGGATTAACGACTTTTGACTGTATATGTGATGATATGATTTAGTTCCTTCTAGTAATTTGATATGAGATGAGTGGTTGACATGGGAAGACATTATTCTGCAGTTGCAAGTGGACTGAAATTAGAAAATGACTGAAAACATCAATTACATAGTAGAAGATGTGGAGTGCTTTTGAAGAATTAAAAAAGAAACCACTTGATAATCCAAATATCTATTTATTACTTGTTGTCTGCCCTATGGCATGACCCATCAAAATGGAGCCTATCTGCAACAAACAATCTTTGATGATGATGTATAATATTTTTTTTAACAGAATCAGATCTAGTGTAGAATTGGGTGCCTCTTCGATTAGCAACTTTTCTTTTTTTTTTTTTTTTTAAATTTTGCCGATGAAACCTCACTTCTGGTTACCATGATAGTTTTATCTGTGTTTTAGCTCCCTGATTTTATTTAAATGAAAATAGATTGATGTGTACATGTACAAATTTAAGGCAGTGCACAATGCCTAGTTTGTGCAATTCTAGGATGTTTTTTTAAGTGACAACAGATTAATGTGTACATGGACAGAGTTTGTGCAATTCTTTGACTTCTTACTTTGGTTTTGTGTGGCGGCCATCTTGAAATTGTGCCTTCCTGGCTCCGATCTTGGCGCCAAAAAAAAAGGCACCCAATTGTAAACTTTTACCACAGAATCAACTAAGCATGAGACATCCTAAAACTACCAAAGGTTGACAAAGAAAGTTGGAGGGTAGATGGATTGCAACAGTAGTTATATTACAATTTTTATTAATCTGATTGGCTAAAACTTGTAGGCAATGCTTAGTTTCATATGACATAATATGGAATTAGCTTGGTAAAATCCTAGTATACGGTGCAGCCTTGTGCGATTTTGAAAATTATCGCCAACACCAAAAATGACCAAAAGAACGTCTATGTATATATAGTGATAGTATACTATACACTATATACATAGCATATACTATGTATAACTACCTGTTTACTACTCATCGTATATGTCCTGTTTTTACTGCTCATCATAAAAGTTGCCAAATCCCGTGTGCACCGGATACTAGGATTAAACCATTAGTTTTCAGATATGATGCAGTTTCGAGAAAGTTATTACTAGAGAGGAAGTATCCAAACTATAAATGAGCAATCAAGCAGCTTTTTAAGCTATACTTTTGACTTGCATATTTTTTACCTTACATACATATAGAAAACTATATTAAAATCAGTCAAAGTAGTCATACAAGGAGTTTGTCATAAAAGATAGAGATTATTAGTAGTAGATATTTTCAAAAATTCGCCAAGTGCCGGTTATCTGAAAACGGATAATCTTTGGAATATGGTAACAGGTAGTTTGGCGACATTTTGGTAAGGCGATAAAGGTTACTATCTAGGACTTTATCAGTGTGCATGGATGAAGTCAAGAGTGTGCGCAATGCCATTTTGGTGCAATTCTGGGATGTTTTTTTCAGTGAAAATAGGTCGACGTGTACATGGATACCGTGTTTGTGCAATTCTTAAAAACGCGGTAAGCAGTTTGTAATTCTACACTTTCTCCCAATTTCGCACCTAATCTTCGTCATGATTAAGCACTTTTGTTCCATAAAAGTTCTAGCATAAGCGTAATTCGGCTAGCAGATTGTCGGAAAAAATGTTGAGTAAAAAACAAAAACACATGCCTTTACTTCGTTAAAACGCAATGGCCGTCCAAAACAAAACTAGCAGGTTGCTGTAGCAGGGTTGGTCGCCAAATTTTCGCCAAAAAATCGCCGAGTTACCATAATCCACAGATTAACCCAAAGAACTGCCACGGAAAATTTGCCTCGCAACTCACTACCCATATATTCAATTTCAAATCGAAACCATAAATAATATTTTAAACAACCTTTTAATATTCCCATAGTAAGTACAACAGCACAAGAAATGATGAAAATTTATCTCCACGTTAGGTGTATGGATCTAAATTGAACTTATGCACCATAATTTAAAAGTATTTATGTATATATATATTCGACAAGATATGTTCTGAATACTTGGACGTACCTCTGCGGTATACTGGGGCACAGTATCAACTACATCAGGCACAACGCCGTGCTCTTCCATTGCAGCAACCGCTTTGAACGATAGTAAACGAAAATTAGACTTTTTTAACAAATGCTTCTTTTGTTCTTGGATCAAATTTAGCTGTGCCTCAAAACGAGATGTAGCTTTAACAGCACCTACAACAACACTTCGCGCAACTGCATAAAACATGGAGACTTGAATTCCTGTTGCCACTGCTAATATATTTCTTATCACTTTCCCTAATCACATGTCTTGCAAAGCATAGACGGGAACAGAGATGCTCTCTTACCACTGCATAAAAAATTGTGGCTGGTAGGGCAGGAAAGTTTCCCCAAAAAATTAAAAACATGAACTTTCTTCTTCAGACATCAAAATTTCGTACGATAAGAATAAAATATTTACAAGAGATTTCAGTGTCATTTTTCATCCATAAAGTTTACATTTTTAAGAAATATTTTGAAGTGAATGAAATTGTATGAAAGTTTTATGACCTGTTTATCTATTACTGAACTTTTTTTAACAAATAATAATTTTTTTGAAGTGTAACTATTGTAGCAATATTTGGTCCTTTTATTCTTACACTGAACTTATTGGAAAATTAAGGTAAAGAAACTGGCAGCGCCGGCAAAGTTAATAATACAGCCTTGGTTGTGTTCCGTGATAATAGTTGTATGGAAGTTTGATGTATTGCATTAACTAAATTTGAATTTAACGTAAGTACTTTTTTCCAAATAAATTTTTGATCTACATTTATTTGAGTTTTTAAACCTCATGTATGATTACATTCTTTTCTGTCATGTGTAGTGTTTTTGTTATTTGACATAGTGGTTGTTTTCAATCCGACCATCTGTTCTTGATTCGATCTGATATTAAACCTCTGGCACTTTTTATATTGTGTGTAACCCATTAATGTCATGAGTAATCATGAAATTATTTCTTCTGTTTAGGACTAAAGCTAAAAATATTTGTTTTGTTGTATATAGACTTAGTAATTCTTTATGTTGCTTTCGGTCTCAACTAATAAAAGCAGTATTGAAGTGATAATTTCATCGAAATGTCTCTAGCTTGATGCCGAAGTAAAAGCTTATATGCTTCTGTATTGTTTTAGGAGGAAGGCATGAACGTTGCCGTTACAAATTTTGGAACTACTCTGATATGCGCCCTCAAGTCACCAAATTTCTCGCCAAATATTTTTGGCGAGAAACTTCACGCGGCCATATTACTATCTAAATTTTTTATCTACATTTCGAACTCTAAGCCTAAAATGCCTCCAAAAACGCGGTTTTCGCACATGCAAAAACTACGTTTTGAACACACGATTTAAGCTAAAAATCCAAAACAAAAACAAAAAATTTAGATAGCAAAAACGTGCAGTTTCTAACCAAAAATATTTAACTAGAATCCATGTACACAGCGCGATATGTTTTAACTTAAAAAAAACATTCTACCGAATTGGCACAACGTAGGCCAACGAACGAATCTACGAACTACGCACACCTCCCTTTAATAAATTAACATAACAACAATAAATTTCAAAGAATACCATGTACACAGTACCTTCCTGTTTAAACTTTAAAAAAAAATCTACGAATTGCACAATCTGTATTGGCACAAATCAACAACGAATAAATAACGAACTAACGCACAAACCTCGCTTTAATAAATTAACATAACAACATAAATTTCAAAGAATAAAGAATACCACGTACACAGTATCCTGTTTAAACATTAAAAAAAATCTACGAATTGCACACTGTAGGCAATAAACGAATTTACGAACTACGCACACCTCGCTTTAATAAATTAACATAACAACAATAAATTTCAAAGAATACCATGTACACAGTATCATGTTTAAACTTTAAAAAAAAATCTACGAATTGCACTATCTACACTAAAAACAAATCAAGAAAATAAACTAAAATAAATTTCAGACAATTCAAAAAACAACAGAAATGGAAATTCATACAAAAAACAATGAATATAACATTCTACAAAATAGAAACAATAAAATGAAATGCACTTACCATAATGAAAGCTTCTTTTAAAAGCAGAAATATCACTTTCAAACTTCACAAAAACAAAAAACAAAAAACACTCTTTGCAAATAAACTACAAAGAAATTTTTAATTTTTCCCATTCAACACATCTTACAATTTCTAGAAATTTATTAAAAGCATCTTCTTTAACCCCCCGAGGGTTACGGGTTTTTTCAGGAAACGACGTAAAAATAATCGTGTTTTCTTACCAGGACTGTCGCAAAAGCGGCAAGCATTTTTACTCAAACTGCTTCAAAAGCGGGCCCCCCTTACCATGTGGATATAATTAAGCTAATTCTCCCCTCCGTTGAATTTAGCGAGTGAAATTAGTTTTTCTCCCTATGGTATCTTCGTCACGAGACTGGTTGCTAAAATAGTATTTTATCTCCTATTTGGCTACTTTATAATTTGCACACTAACACATATGCTATATATTACTCGTACCTTAAATCAAGATATGTGCCGAATACAGAAAGTTAGTCAATATACATCAGTAAGAGAAACTACGTAAAATGCTTTAAATTTTCAGTTTCTTTAAGGAATTGCTTCGATAATGGTGAAAAATTAATCTTGCATTTTTTTATCCTTATTTTCTGAGGAAATACTTTTTAATATACAAAGGGAATTTGTGAGAATTTTTTTTCTCTCGTGTTCCAATTTTTCGAATACAAATTATTCGCAACTTATTTTAGTATTATGTTTATATTTAATTTTCAAATATTATAAGTTTATTCCAGTTTAAAGTGTTAGATTTAAATAATTCTTTAGATTGCATCATAAATTTATTAGTAGTTAGTTATTTATGACACCGTTTTGACTTGTGAGAAATAAATAAAGTATTGTAATCGCGAAACATTTCGATTTTCATATTTCAAAGGAAATTTCCATTTTGAATAGTTCCATCATGACGTTTACACGTACGTATTCTTTTTTTTTTTTTTTTTTTTTTTTTTTTTTTTTTTTTTTTTTTTTTTTTTTTCTTATGTCGCATAACTTAACATAAAATGATGAAATTTTAAATTTAGGACTTATGACTAGTTTTAGCGCGACGTATGTCTGTACGTATGTATGCATGTATATCGCATAACTCAAAAACGGTTAACCGTAGAATGTTGAAAGTTTCTGTATGGGGCATCTGTATAACATATAATTGTGCACCTCCCTTTTTTATTGCTTTCGGCAGTGCCAAAGGGGCATTTTGAAATGGAAGATCATATCTCCTTTTCAAACGAAATAGGTTTAAATGAAGTTTAGCAAAAATTGCGTTTCATTTATTTGTCGTACAAGGAAGTCATGAGGTGTCCGCATCAGGTTTTTTAAGATGTTTCAGAATAAATAAATATATGGTTTGAATATCAAATGATCTCAAATGTATCAGCTTTATTTGTTTGTAAATATTCTACAGGGAAGTCAAGAAATAATCTAAATAGCATACCTTGAGAAGAAACACATTAAATACATTTTCTTTTCAAGGAAAGTTGAAATTTTAAAGAATAACTGATTAAATTTTCTTTAAATCCTTTTATAAAATATTACATATAAAACCAGTTACGGTTTTCAGAAAGACAATTTAAGGAGGAAAATATTGTTTTAGAATGCATATCGCACAATATTTCCACCTTAAATTGTTTTTCTGGAAAATATTTGTGTAATATTCATTCTAAAGTAATATTTTTACTCATAAATTTGGTATGCTTAAATTTATGTTATCTACCTGTATATAATATAAGTAGTCAGTTCAACCACAATGTAACAATGATACAAGCTCTGTGTAAAGATCGATTTCTATCATCTATGTCCATCTGTTCTATAATCTATTTCTAACTCTATAATCAGCCAAAATAGTGTTATAATTATCCTTTTGAATATTGGAACGGAGTAAAATATATCAATATGAAATATGCGATCAAGTAAAATTATCTCATTGCTGTTACAGGAGGATGTTTGTGTGTAAAACGTCCTTTAAAAGGTAGCAAAAAAACATAAGTGTTTTAGGTTTAGTTTTATTTATTTGATTGCGGCAAAACAAGTATTCGTAAGTATTATCTGTCTAATGAAGGCATGCTTTCGTGGAGAACTGCTTAAGGAAAACTAGCTGGCACTGACGTTAACACATAAGGAAAACCATGAAAGCCTCTATGGAGTCAGCCTGTTCGCCAGAACTAGACACTGGCTCGAAGTACTAGTGTTCAGAGATATTACCGCTGCACTATGTTAGAATTTTAAATCTATGTCATCTTTAAGTTATTTAGCAGATACTATGTAACAACAAATTATTAAATTCTCAATGACTTGATTCAAGTAATTTTCTATAAAACTGGGCCTTCTGATGGCCGATTGGATAAGCCCAAAGAATTTGAGTTTTCGACCTGGGCCAGAATTATGTCACCTGGCTGCATTTGTGGATTTCTCCATAGGGAGTACAAATGTGAGGTAGGTTTCCTTACAGAATCCTTCACGAAAGCATTACGCTCTTTAAGCAGATAACCTTAGTATTTTTCATCGCTTTCAGTTAAATCAAATGAGCTTCCGATAAAGTGCGATGTGTAAAGTAGGACCTGAGGAAGTACGACAGTCCTCTATATACATATATCGTTCTGAGGAAGTACGATATACATACACAGAGAAAGTATGACATAAAAAAAGGCAGTAAATACATTTGAAGTGTTGAAACTTTTTTCGAAGGAGAAGTAAAATGCAAACAATATTTTGCTTCTAGACACACTTTCCAAACTGGGATAAATCAGAGTGCAGAATGCACTTAAAACAAATTAGCTTGAATAATTTTATCAAAAAACTTATTCATGAATGAGAAATCATAAACACAATTTTTGTTATTTATTTACGTTGTAGAGACGTTAGGTATTTTGGAAGCAGAAAAAATGAAAAATAAGCAATGCCGGGAAGCGAACCATGGACCTTTCAATTATGCGCTGAGCGTGCAGACTACCACACCAGAAAGGCATACCAAGAAGGTGGGATTTGGCAACTGGGTTTTTAGGTCGCCAAATCCAGGGGGGGAGAATCGTCATCCAACACCCTTTTAGTTCGGGCGCCACTGTAGAGAAATTAGGTAATTTTTGGAAAGCAGGAGTGATGAAAAATATGCAACGCCTTTGCCGGGAATCGAACCCCGGACCTCTCAATTACGCGCTGAGCGTGCAGACCACCACACC